GAATGTATACTGCCCATGTCATCGCACATCACTCTAAACAGCCTTGTATTCAGTGATCTTGATTTGATAAAATTAATTATCTTCACGGTTTCGTCCAATACTACTTTTAAGGAAGGCGGAATTTTTTTCACGGCGAGGTTATAGCGGTGGAGGCTATACAGTGGTTACTGTTGCATTCGTTGGTTTTTTCATTTATTCTTGAAATGACGTCCGACGTTCTTCCAGTCATCGCCTTCGTGCCGTTTGTGCATACATCCACGCAGTTATTCCAGGGAATGCTATTTTCTGTGAAAAAGCTTTCTATCAACTTGAAAATTTCGACACGAGTTGTGTTAGTTATCAATGGTTTGCAAACAAGTAGATGCTCTTGAAAATGAAACCGCACAAATGCTATTAAAATTCGACAGTTGTAGCTGGATTGGCATCCAGCCAAGGGTGTTAAGTCTCTTTTTAGGTTTTGTATACAAACTTCCTCCAATTCTTCTTGTTGCTTGCCAATTTCTTCGCTTGCTCTTTGGTGACTTATCTCCTGTTTAGGATAACAGCAATTTCATCGTCCCAGGTCTTCATGGGTCTGCCCCTCGGTATTTTCAAGATTCTTCTCGCTTCCCACACTTGTTTCACTTGGCTTTCTTTATCCATCCTTACCATGTGGCCGTACCATCTCAGTTGGGCTTCTTCGATTTTCTTCTCTATTTATTGGACTTTAAGGCGTTCTCTTATTTCATCGTTCCGTATCCTGTCCATTCTGGTCACCCCTAGTACTCTTCTTAGATACTTCTATGCAATATTTGCAGTTTATTTTTTGGTCTGGTGGTGAACGTCCAGCTTTCACATCCAAATGTTAAGATAGTTACAAAAACTGTGTTGTAGATAGCTATCTTGTCTTTTGGGATACTTCTTTTTTCGATAGGAATGTGTTTATCTCTGCTTCTTGTATACCCCTACTCTCTAGTTGCACTCCCAGGGATTTGAAGGTTTCGACTTGTTCTAAAGTATCGTTATTGATTTTAATGTTTGTATGTTGGTTTTTTTCCACATACCATGACCTTGATTTTACTTTCATTAATTCTCAGATTACGTTTTCAAGTTTATCTCTCTATGTTTGTAGGTTTCTCTTAAGTGCGTCCTCGTTCGTTCCAAATACGACGAGGTCATCTGCAAATGTGCACTCCGCTATCTGTATCATTTCCAGGTTTCTATGCCCAACAAATATTCCCGATGTTTCTTCTCATCGTTTCCTTCATTACATTATCTAGTACAATATTGAAGAGGATGAGGCTTAGTACACCTCCTTGTCGTAAGCTATCATTGACTATAAACTCGTCTGATTCCATATTATCTGTTCTTATTCTATTTCTTGTGTTCTTGTATAGGCTCACAATAGCTTTTCTGAGTTTGCTGTCTACTTCTCTGTTTCTTAGGCTTTTGTCTATTTCAGTTCGCGGGGTTCTATCAAATGCTTTTTCGAGGTCTAAGGACGCTTGGTATAGTTCCGTGCTTGTATTTTACGCATTTTGTATTAGATGCTTGAGTGTAAAAATATTGTCATGGATGCTTCTTCCCTTCCTAAAACCGCTCTGTGACTGCTTCGGCTTATGGTCTACTTTTTGTAGTAGTTTTTTCTCCAGTACTCTTTCGTAAACTTTGAAAGGGATACTCAGGAGAGTTATACCTCTGTAGTGGCTGCAGTCTCGTCTGTCACCTTTTTTGAAAATGGGTGGAATACCCAGTCTTTTGGGATCTTGTTCTCATTCCATGCTTTATTGCAAACTTTTCTAAGCATTTCATTTCCATTTTCTCTCATATTTTTTAGCACTTCCGTAGTTATCTTATCATAGCCAGCTGCTTTTCCTTTTCTGAGCCTGAGTGATATTTCTCTTATAAAAAATAAAATCATAAGTTTATTCGTATTTATTCAAAGTACAGAGACAGATGAATTAAAACACAATTACTGCTTGCTGTTACCCAATGAGAGGGATGAGAAACCAAAATGTTATACACAAACTTAGATAAGATACAGACCGTATTAGTTGAGTTATTAAGATGGGAGTTAATTTTTAATCTTTCTTCTGACAAAACGCTAAAAATCCATGAGAAAAATAAATTCAGGCTATAGCAAGTATTTTTAAAAGAGTCTTTTTTTCAATAGCGCACAGTACTGCCGTCCTAACATGAAAGGTCCTATCTGCAAAATTTGGTAAAATGACTTTATTGGCTCACGGTATGCGTAAACATATTATCTATGTATGTACAAAATGAAATTGTCCTATAAGCGTCTTAACTGCCTTATTATATACCTAAATGGTTTGTCCTTCTTCTTCTTTCAGTGCCTATTCGTTCCGAATATTGGCAATCATTCTGGCTATAATTATTTTATTAACTGATGCTTTAAATAGATTCGTTGTTGTTGTGGAGAACCATTTCCTCAGGTTCTTCAACCATGATATTCTCCTTCTCCCAATTCCTCGCTTTCCGAATACTTTACCCTGTAGGATTACCTTCAGTAATCTGTATTTAGTGCTGTTTCTCATTATATGTCCGAGATATTCCAACTTTCTCCTTTTAAAGGTATACATCACCTCTCTTTCTTTGCCCACTCTTCGTAATACGGTCTCGTTGGTTATCTTTTCTGTCCATGATATCCTTAGAATTCGCCTGTATAGCCACATCTCGAAGGCTTCAAGTTTTTTCTCCAGGTTTGTCCTAACTGACTAAAAAGGCATGTTCACTAACATAAATTGTCCTATCTTACATATACTAAGAAAAATTGTCCGTTTTAACTTTAAAAATGCAGTTAGGACTATTTCAGCTAGTATTTTATACTGAGCGGCATCAGTTAGGACAATTTTTGCGTAGTATGACATAAGCATGTTTGTAACATAACTTTAAATAATTAATTAAAAACCGTATTTTTTATTGTCAGACATTGGGAGTACTCTTATGCTTTTTGGTATTTTAAGTAAATATATTGTGAGAAACGGATGATGGGTAAGTTTAATAATGTTACCTTAGGTATCAGCAATAACTGATCGTAATTATTATTTGTAGTAGTAGCAAAAAATATAGACGCACATGCATCTATATTTTCTGGTTGTAGCAATGCAGCATGTCTCAGCCAGAACAGCGATAAATGTAAACGTATGGTATTTAGCCAAAAGTGAGAATGATCCAGATTAAGCACCTGGGCCGTCCAATAAATTCGACAATAATATAAATGAAGATGATTCGGATTCTAGTTTCGAATCTAACTATTATCATTTATGTTACATATATTAGGATGTAAATTGTGTAATAAGTTTTAAAACTTCTTTTTTTTATATACATATGACTCTGTCTGTTTTTCAATGTACCTCCAGTAAGTTGCCGTTTCATCATTTCGTGGTCTTCCTACTGATCTCATCGTCTTCGTGGTCTTCCTACTGATCGTCTTCTTATTGGGAAACCGTCTCTTGCCGTCTTTACTACTCTATTTGTTGTCATTAGTCTTGTATGATCGTTCCATTCTACTCTTGTATTTCTTACACAGTTTTTGATATTCTTACTTTGCCTGATGTACCTCAAATTGCATATAAATCGTATCTCTGTACTATGTATCTCATCGTAGCTCTATCCCATAGTGTTTTGTCATCAATGTTTTGCCTTCTACTTCAGTTTTGAGCTTTCTGTAGCTAGATAATGTGATACTTATATATTTAAACTCCATCACTTCTTCTATTATATGACCTTCCAGCTCCAATTTACATCTTTGTAAATTTGCTGTCGTAAGCATGCATTTTGTCTTTTTTGGGGAAATTAACATTTTTCTGGCGATTATATTAAATTGGTGTAGCATAAGTTGTAAATCATCTTCACTTTGAGAGAGCAGTATTGCGTCGTCTGCATAGTAGATTATTTTAAGTTGTTTTTCTCCCATTTGGTATCCTTTTTTAGTTCTTATTTTTCTTATTATTTCATCCATAATTAGGTTAAATAATAGAGGACTCATAGAATCTCCCTGCCTTATCCCATTGCCAGCTACAATAGGGTCGGTTAGTTCTTCTTCTATTTTTACTTTTATTGTGTTTTTTTGGTAGTTATTTTCGATCATTTTGATTATTCCTGGAGGTATCTCTCTTTGCGTACAGTAAGTGGATAACGTCTATTAGTTTAACCCAGTCAAATGCCTTCTTAAGGTTCACGAAACATAGATATGCCGGTTTGTTGTATTCTAATGATTTCTTTTGCATTTGCCTCATTATAAATATAGCGTCGATGCATAATCTTCCCGACCTAAAACCTTGTGGTTCTTCTGCTAGTGTTATAATTTCATTCAGTTTATTTGTTATCACTTTGGTTGTTAATTTTAGTGTTGTGTTTCATAAATTAATTCCCATTCCCTTGATCTCCATTTTTGAGGAATTCTGTTTTTTGTTCTATTATTTTATAAAACTTAGTATAATAACATTAAAAGAGTTCAATGTCAGTAAGTAATACAAAAAAAACTTACTTCAGATACACTAAGCTAAATTGTCCTAAGTGGCAATGTAATCTACTAATCTGGAAAGAATAAAACAAAATTCTGACAAGCACTTAAATTCTATTCTCTGACATAATATATAAAATAAAACATAAAGACTTTCTTAAATTACCAAGCGTTATACAATGAAAAGAAACAAAAACTTGATTTTCTCAAAACCTAAATTTTGCAGATAGGACCTTTCATGTTAGGACGGCAGAGTAGTTTTCCAATTTTCTTTAAAAATGTCATAAAATGTTTATATTAACATTTTTATATGATAAAACTATATAATAAAAAACTAAAATATATATTTTTTTAAAATGCCATAAAGATTGTCAAAATATACTCAAACTATCAATATTTTTATTTAAGAAATGTTATTCAGATTTTGTTACCTGACAAAAAAGTTATTTTTTTTTCGAATTTTATTCGTGGCCTTTAAAATTTCCGTTGTGTATATGATAATAACGTATTATGATGAATATTTTTTGTTTATATTTTAAAACATATTTAAAAAAAATGTACGAATCACTCTTTTTTGGTCTTTTTGTTTTGCTTTGAACAACACAGCTTAACGCACAATAGATATAATACTGTAAACACACTAAAAATAAATATTGTTACAACTGCAATCACGTCTAATAGCAAGTATTGGTACCATCGTAGATCCATTGCTGCTACTCTCAGGTGTTGCGCCCCCTTATGCCTGACTACGAATTCAGTCCAATAAACTGCCAGATCTAGCGGTTTCATGGGACGATCATGGAATAGACTAGATCTGATTTTAGCGTTTTCTCTGTATCTAAAAAATTAATTATGATAAATCTAATAAGTAGTTTTTAGTTCTTAATAAACAATTCAACTAATAGAGAAACATTTGTATGTTTAGGAATCTGTTTTTAAGATGCCTTGAGATTATTCTCATTTTTTGTTTGTCCTATAGATTTTTTCGTGGTATTGAAGAATGAACCATCTACCTTTTTAATCTAATAGTTTACATATTACGTAGGTCGAGTTTACCGAGTTTACATATCTTCTAAAGCTCTTAATCCCAATGAAAGAAAAATTCAAATCTGCAATCTCCACGTGGTAGAACATGGGCAACATCTGTCTATAGATGGCCAATGCAGATAGGAACCGAGTGATTGCCAGTATAAGCAATCTCTCACTAACTGACCAACAACTACGGGCGAATGAGTTGGTAAGTGATAGGGCACTCTTTTGTCCTGGTGTTAAAAATCGACTCCAAAGGCGGATGAACCAAAGAAGTGGTCAACGGCAGAATAATGAAGAAGGCAACGAAAAACCACTACATTAAAGGTCTTTAAATAGATATGTCTTGTCAATTATTATGGCTATTATAAATGACAATTCCACAACTACTGATCATGGACATCGGATACTAAGATCCGGCAGGGAGGCAATTCTCAGTTAGACCTCGGGGCCTCCCAGGTCGGCAACATGCAAAAACCCGGAGTCAGACACAAAAATATAAACGAACTGCAGATAGGTACCTGGAATGTGACGTCTATATATGAAGCAGGGAAGATCCACAATGTAATACATGAGATGAGGCAACTAAAAGTCAATATAATGGGACTAAGCGAGACCACATGGCCTAGATCTGGGGAAATCGAAGTCTACGGTGCCAAAATATCTCTCTCTCTCTCTCTCTCTCTCTTCAATCCTGACCCCCCAGGGGGAGTGTAGTGGTCGACGTGATGTCAAAATATACTACTCAGAAAATGAAGATGTTCATCACTATAATAGCGTCGAGATAGTGGATGATAAATTAAACATTAGAAAAAGGTAAATTCCAAGATATTATTGGTGAATTCGGACTAGGAATAAGGAACGAAAGAGGGTAAAGACTGACAGAATTCTGTCAGGAGTTTGAAATGATAGCGACAAATACATTTTTTCAGTTACCACCACGTAGATTACATATATGGAAATTACCTGCGGATAGCAAAGAAAAAATTATCAGAAACCAAATAGATTATATCCTTATCAATAAGAGATACCGTAACTCCATCAAATCGGCAAAGATATATCCAGGAACAGATGTGTCATCAGACCACAACCCAGTAATCATAAAATTCGAAATCTACTTAAAGAAAATAAAAAATCAATAAAAGACATAACAAATAAGCACTCTGCTAAAACACCCGAATATAAAAGGAGAACTAATGTTAAAAATTAACGAATAGTTAAGCAAAATAATAATCATTGATACTGATGATTCCAACGAAAAATGAGAAACTTTTAAGAACGAAAAAACGATGAAGCTAAGACTCCATGGATGACAGATGAGATCTGGCAACTAATGGACAAAAGAAGGTTATACAAAAACAAAAATAGAGATCAAGATAAAAATACGGGCAGCTGAAGGGAAGTGGTATATCGACAAATGTTATACACTAACGCTTAATGTTAATAAAACAAAAAAATGACAATTTCCAAAACACAACAAGATATTTTAAACATAAGAGGGGTTCCAATAGAAAAAGGAAAAAAAAATACAGATATCTTGGTACAATTATTAATGAAAATAACGAGTAACATTTAATAAGATGAGAAAAGTATTATGCAGTAGAAACCTCAGTTTGCAACTCAAAATAAGAATATTACGTCCATATGTGTTTTCGATGCCGCTGTATAGGGTGGAGGCCTGGACCTTAAAGAAAGAGGTGAGCGATAGACTTCAAGCATTCGAGATGTGGACCTACCGAAGAATATTAAAAATAAGTTGGTTAGACCGAATAACGAAAAAATGTTAAGGTCCTCAGACAAATGACAAAGGAAATGGAGATCATGGATACGATTAAGATAAGAAAGTTACAATATCTCGGCCACGTTATGAGAGAGGATAAATATGTGTTGCTACAAACCATAATGCAGGGAAAAATAAAGGGAAAATTAAGTATTGGAAGAAGACTCATCTCCTGGATCAACAATCTGAGAAAGTGGTATAATTGCAGTTCCATCGATTTGTTCAGAGCTGCAATCTCAAAAGTCAAAATAGCTGTGATGATTACCAACCTCCTTAGAGGAGACGGTACCTAAAGAAGAATAGTTTACATCTGCTGTTTTTTTTTCACAGAAAATATAACAGCTATCGCAATATATTCAATTGGCATAGGGAAAGTGTTTTTTTAAAGTCGATATTTGGGTAAATATAAAGTTACAATTTTATTATAAATGAAATAAGTACTTAAAAAATAAGTAAATAAAATAATCACTCTCTGGTTTGAGGTACAACATAATGTTGTACCTTAAAACAACTAGGATTGTACCTTGAAACAACTCCTTATTGTACATATTTTGTAAGAGAAAACAGTACAATGTAACTTCTGCTATTATAATATTAAAACTAAAAATATAAAAGAAATTACATACTACAATATGGCAGATGTTTAAAGAACACCATGTATATAAATTATTCAGTCATTTTATCAATGCATATGAGACAAAAAGGTACGGTATGTTCTAAGCAAATACATTTTTTACAGTAGTGACACATGTAGTGAGTTTTACGATCTCTACAAAAAGCACAACGCCCCCTTTTATTTTGCAATTCTACAGGTGCTTCTACTGGTCCAACACTACTGAGTTTAGCAGCAAGCTCTCTTACATCTCGTGCCAAATGAGTAGATTGAGCTCTTGCTTTTATATTGTCCATCACTAACTGAAGACCTAGTTCCTTTAAAAAAAAATCTTCATCTTTTTCTTGTTTTTAGATTCGGTGCGTTACTTCTCTGTATCACAAATGCATTTACTGCAGCAACATCAAGCAATGCATAAAAGATGACCATGGGCAAGCGTTTTGTATTTTTTGCGACAGTATAGGGACCTCGAAGTTGATCAACGGTGTCCACACCACCTTTCGTAGAGTTATAGAACATTATTGCTTCAGGTTTACTTTCGTCACCCGTTGTCGGATTGATTTGGTCAACATGGTGTAGGGTTGACAAAAGAACAACATGTTTTTTTGGTTTTGGTATATAGGACAATGTTGTCATATCTTTGGTAAATCCAAATATAGTTGATTTTGGCGGTCTATTGTTCATTAAAAATTCGGTTGGGATATGCATTTTGTTTTTCCGTAGGGTGCCTACAATTGTTAGACTATGATTTGTCAGTAAGTTTTGTGAGAGTTCAATTGATGTAAACCAATTGTCCATTGTGACATTCCGGTTGGATCTGGAGATAGGTTTGCAAAGCCGCTCAACCACATCGTTGACTGCAGAACTGATAGAATATGGACATGGTGGTTATGTACCGGCATATATTTCTAATTGATTAATATAAAACGTGCGAAAATCCACCAAGGAAAATACCTTCAGACTGTATTGGGCCGGTTTTTTTGGAAGGTACATTCTAAAACTACAGCGACCTCTAAAGCCTAAAAGCATCGCATCGATAGTGACATATTGACCAATGGTATAATATTTTTGAAAATTTTCAACTACATCCTCGAATACGACTCTAACTGGTCTGCTTGTGTCCGTTCGTCCCTTGTACGAATATCATCTAGGCGTAAGCACTTCATAAGAAATCGAAATCTGCGGAGAGCCATCGTTGCCGGAAATATATCAATGCCCGTACCATTTCTTTCCCAAAACTCAAAAATTGAAGTTCTACCTCCATGGTAAACTCCAGCTAAGTAAAGCAGACCAATCAGAGGTTTTAGTTCACATATATTTGTTAGCCTCGCATCGGGACTGTCTTTATATCTCACGGACACACGCTCGATATATACATTGGTACATTCAACAATATGTTTTATAATTTTGTCATTAAAAAACAGTTCCCAGCATTCTTTTTCAGTTTTGCATTTTTTCGCTTCACGAATAACTCCAGAAAGTTTTGTTATGTTATTTTCTCGTCTAGTTCTAACATTTCGTGATCCGCATATCTTATTCCATTTTATTCCATCTTTGGTATTGTAATAAAGGTGTTGGTTTGACTTACCTTGTAGAATACATTCTTGTACGTTTAATTCGGTGTCTGATAAATCTAATTCAGACTCTGAGTTATGATTAGCATCTTCGTGTTCTAAGTTGCCAACTATAGACTCATCGGAATCTGAATCTTCATAATTTTCTTCCTCGTCGGTTGCAACTTCCTCGTAGAGACGTTGCAAATGTTTTGCCTCTCTCTCGTAAGAATAAATTGTTTTACTAAGCTCTAAAACCAATACACTGCAAATTTTGTTTTGTACTTTCATAAAAAAATTTACATTAAGGAACGGGTTGGGTCTGAGAGAACGAAAACGGATATATCATCGATACTATTGCTTCAATGCGCATTCGTAAGGGATTATAGCTAGCTATGCCGACGAAAGGTACCTAGACCGCCAGGAACGTACTTAGACTCGCTGACCGAATAGAGATATTAAAAGAACTGAATGGGCGTCACAGACCCAACCTGTGCACCGCAGGGTTAACAATATAAATAACCGATAAACTAAACAACACGGCTGGCCCAAAACACTTTTTTTCAAAACACGTTGTTTTGCATTTTCACACTTACTTTCTTTTGGTCTATAATACAAAAAAATTCTATATTATGTATTTCTCGAAATCAAAACTAGTATCTGCCCATTTTTAGAGAAACATCGCGTTTTTTTTGTATTAACAAAACCATAACCAAGTATCACACTAAGTGTACACCTACATTGGAACCGTATTTCTCCTGATCCAATATCGGGCCACGCCGGCCGACATCGGATTGAAAACAAACTCCAGGTATTATTGCATAGCGCCTAAACTGCAGTGGGAACCCCGATCAGATAACGACCGATATCGGCCGGCGTCGGACTGAATAGCTTCTCCTATCAAACTTGTTTGGTTTCATTCCGATTTTTCTTTCCGACGAGAGCCAAATCGCAGAAATGGACACAGAAATTTTGATTGATCGGGTTGAGAAATACGGTTCCAATATAGGTTTTTCTTCGGGGCTGATGCATTCTCTGAAGTTAGATCGGCTTAGATTGTATAATTAGATTTCTATACTCATGCGGTGGTACTTTTTGAATTTTTCAGGATAATTACGTAAAGTTACGTTTAAATTAAAGTGGAAAGTTTTAATAAATTTTCCTGAAGATCTCTCTCCATTCAATTTATGTATCCAGGTACGTTTTCTTCTACTTCTTATAAGAACGTTGTTTCCTAACAACAGCCAACACATTAAATGTTCATCGAAACTCATTGTCGGTGGTCAGGCGTTAACTGAACGAGTATAGGCACTCACGTCGGCCGACGACGTCGGATCGAAAAATCGGCTTATATCGGACCCGATCGGATCGGGAAAAATACGGTTCCAATATAGGTGTACCCTAATCTTATTTCAAAACAAAGTATTTAACAAGAGATACTTGGTTATGAAGTAGTAACTAGCCTCAAGCTTGCTTTTGTTGTGGTTTGGTATATGATGCTTTTTTTTTATTTGGGAAAATATCAATTGAGAGAGAGTGACGTTCATTAAAGTCTGTTAGATAGCCTGAGTCATGATATTTTGAGATTATTTTCCTTATTAAATAAGTAAATTAAAGCTTATAAAAGTTTCACAGTTGCTAGTATTGCGTTCCTAGTGAATAATAAATCATGAAAATGTCAGTCTATTTTGCCATGACCCCATTGAGACGTATGTAAAAGCCTCTTCCACGCATTGGCTGAATAAATGTAATAATCTCTCTCACAGTTAGAAGCCGGATTGAAAGTATACTGCAGATAATAATATGTACGTATGTATATGCTCAACATGAGGCATACATTAATAGGGGCACAAACAAATTGAATTTATTCCATGTAACATGTTGACGATTAGTATAATTTTATGTTTTTTTATTTGTTACAGAAAAAATACAACCCATAATCTTCCTGAAGACAATGAATCATCCGTGTTCTTTTCCGATGACCCGGTTATTGATCCAGACATTAGCCTGCAATATCTTGTTGGAACTTACAACTATAAAGACTACGATTTTCCAGAATCAAATCAAAGTCAACTAATATGGAGACATTCTCTGGAAATAAAAACCAATGCGGTACTTACATCGCCAGAAAAAGCAGACTTGGAAGATTATCAGCCAACATTTGTATTCCTGGAAAATGTACCTTGTACAGGAGTTTACACAGAGACACCAGCAGCTTACTATTTGGACCCCGATGCTAGAGTAATTACGAGTAACGAAGCTCCGGAAACAGCAGACTTGAAAGATTATCAGCCATCATTTGCATTACTAAAAAATGTACCTTGTACAAGACTTTACACAGAGACATCAGCAGCTTACCATTCGAACCCCGGTGTTGGAGTAATTACGAGTAACGAAGCTCCAGAGACAGCAGACTTGGAAGACAATCAGCCGACAATTTCATCACTGGAAAATGTATCAAGACGTGAAATAGCAAATAGAATAAAAATAGGCAACAATAAAAGAAAATACCCAATAAAATTGGTCGCTTGCTCAAGAAAATTCAAAAGAAGCTGCGATGTAATCACATCACAGCAAAGAAAAGACATATAAAAGACATAAAAAGCTATACCATTTTCCAAGTTCATATTGTGTTTTAGGGTCTGTTTAAAAATTCGGTCAGTACTGCATTTAAAAGAAGAGTATAGAACAAACTTACCTACATAGGAACTGTTACCCTATATTAACAGAAAATCCAATAACACTTTACTTTTTAAAATCAAAATTTTTGCTTTCACACCGAATGAAAAAATATCAAGACCTACAGTGAAACGAATAATCTTATTCCAACAAAAACAGGATGTGACGGCATCTCTTGGAACCAGTACGAAACTGAAATAATGCGAAATCACACAGATTTCTACAAATACGCAAAATGTACTTTCCCTTACTTATATAACCATCAAGTTTTAAAGACTCGTTTTTTATCAAACGCTATGAATTCAATATTTTATAGATAAAAATACGAAAATGTTGGGAATTAAAGTAATTACGTACCGAAGATGATTCTAGATTTATTATTTTCATTTAGTCAACTAGCCCCGGTTTCCCTACTTTCAATATTCTTGGATATGCAGTCCATACTTCTGGCACACGCAGTTCGTTACATGTTGTTTAGAAAATCATTGTCTAATATTTATTGTAATATGGGTAAACGTAAAAAATATTATATTATAAGCACTTACTTTGGATTTGTCAGTAATTCGTGTAGAGCATTAATCAATTTATCTTCAGTTATTTCTAGGATAGGAAGGTTTAAACCGTAACCTGCCTGTTCTGCTTTAGCTGCGTTCATCTTCTGATCTGCATATACCGGCAAGGCCAATATAGGAACTCCGTGGTACACTGTTTCCAAAGTGCTTAGTAAGCCTCCATGTGTAATGAAGAGTTTTAAATTAGGATGGGCTAAAATAAAAAAAATACTGCTAAAAATATGGTATAGTACATCCACTAATAATTTTCCAACATAAATATGCCTCACTCTGATTTCAAAGAGACCGCCTTTCAAATCAAGGTTGTCAGACATATTTCCTAAAATTCCTAAGGTTATATTTAAAAAATATTCTCTATTCTCTATTCGTTATTATTCAATTGCTAGTCAACGAACGACACTCTTAAAAAATAATATGAACATATTCTCAAAAAATATATCTATATAAATTAATTAACTAGGTACTAATATTTCCATGGACTCTTCACTAATGAATTAAAGCAACTGTGAACTTTGTATATATAACTTATACTCTAAGTAATTTTCGAATATCGGCAACATTGTAGTCTGGACAGAATTTCGAGGTGATTTCGATGTTCGGTCTATATCGACGTTGCCATGTTGGTGAATTTAGCGGTAATACTCTTATAGATATAATGATCGACTTTTAAGAAATCAGACAACTTTTAAGAATCCAAGTTCTGAAAAACGGTTTCAAGAATTGTATTATTTTTTTCCAAATTTTATTGATTTTATACCTTACCTGGAAACATGAAAAATTGCAGATATATTAATTATGGTATTAAAGTTACATTCAATAATTTTAAACTTGGCAACAGCGAAGCGCATCGCAATAAATCTTGATGGAACACCTGTTTGTCTGGCTATATGACACCCTAAATAGTTCATTTTGCAAGCAGCTATCAGAGGCGGATAATAAGGTAAGTAATATTATATTTTTCTAGGATGGCATTTTGGAGACCATTTGATACGAATGATCAAGATGCATCAACTTCTGTGTTATCAATAGATAATGACAATTATGTTAATGACAGCCCCGAATTAAAAAATAAAGATTTGCACGTACAATCCCAAAGAATAGTTTTAAATATGTATGAGTGTTTGAAAAAAGAAAATATTTTGATGGCTGATAATGCAATTGTTTCGAGAATTCATGTATTAACAAAAATCGGGTATAAGACGATATATACAATTATTAAATTAGGCATTGTTACAGATCATTCCTTAAAACGAAAGCGACCAAATAAAAAATTGGGTAGGATTGACACTGCTGCAAAAGACGTTATTCAGCGAACAGTTTACAATTTTTACAAAGAAAATAGAGTGCCTACTTTAGAACTGATTCGTGAAAAATTGAGAGATTTCCCTGAATATAATTATACATCTTTGGAAACACTGCGCGAGATTTTGATAAGTTGTGGATTTAAATATAAGAAATTAGATAATCGAATGGTAATAATGGAATCTCGGCGTATTGTTGAACTTCGACGAGAGTATTTGAGTAAAATAAAACAGTATCGTAATTCAAACAGAAACATAATCTATTTAGATGAAACCTGGTTCGATACGCATGATGTTGTCAAGTACGGCTGGGTTGACAACACAAACAAGTGTGCATTAAATACACCCTGTTCACGAGGAAAACGTGTTATTATTCTTCATGCCGGAAGCAAAGATGGTTTTGTATCTAATGCATTGCTATTGTCGGCCAAAAATATAACAAAGTCTTCTGCCGATTATCACGAAGATATGACAGCCGATTTATTTGAAAAGTGGTTTGTTGAACAACTCTTGCCCAATATTCCGCCGAATTCAGTGATTGTTATGGATAATGCGTCGTATCATTCCCGCATATTAAATAAAATACCTAATAATAACACGAAAAAGGACGAAATTTTAAAATTTATGGAACTTAAAAATATCACTGTTCCTAAAAAGATTCCAGTAAAAAAAGAATTAATTAGAATGATCAAAAGTCGGAATTTCAAAAACGAATACGTTATTGACACCATTTGCAGCAGGCACGGCCATACTCTTTTGCGATTACCTCCATACTATTGCATTTTTAATCCAATTGAAATGGTTTGGGGTACCGTAAAAAAACGATTGCGAAAATATAATCAGTCACCAACATTAAGCGCAGTGGCCATTGAGAATATTCGAGAAGTAATTAGTGGCATTAATAGCGATGTGTGGAAAAGTTGCGAAGCTCATGTTGTAAAAATAGAAAATGAATATCCTGTTTTACCGGCAATAGCACCAATAGTTATACAACCTGGGAACGATTCGACTTCAGAAGACTCTGACGATTCTTTTTAGTCCTTCTAATTAATTTCTTTACAGCTATCGCGATGCATCTTGAACACTAGTATTCATTATTATACAGTGTGTCGCATTTAAGATGAAGACACCTCTATATATCAGCTATCAAAATACATACAGATTAGAAATTTTGCAGTCATACATGTTGATAGTGCACATATTTTTAAGATAGTTAGTTATCTGAAATTTAAATTTTAAACGCGGCTTACTGCGAATCCACAAACAGGGTAAATTTTCGATATTTTGCTTCGCGTTAGAGAAATCGGAAAAACTTATTTGGAAAAGTTATTCCACTTATTGTAACCGCACATTCCAAAATTCATGACAAAATTCGCAATTTTAGTTTTTCAGTATTATTTGTAATCTCGATCCTAAATCTACAATTGGCTGTCTAAAGATGCATCTCGGGACAGCCAACTGTCCGTTTTAGAATCCTGACTACAATTGAAGAGCTTATTTCCAAAGTGTCTTAAATCCATATAATGAAATCCATGAAATTACAGATTTTCATACAAATTTAACATACAAATTATACAATTTTACAATTTTCATATGCACTTTTAAATGGCAAATAAGAAGTTGTTTTGGTACATATAACTTTATTTTAGACTTGAAGAAATCTATAAAGTTTAAAAAAAGAAAATTAAAAAAATCGAAATTTTGGATTTAAGACACTGGAAATAAGCTCTTCAATTATTGAAAAAAGTAAAAGTGCGAATTTTGACATAAAACTTTGTTATGTGGGGTTATAATAATATTTGGAACATCTTTTCCAAATAACTTTTTCCGATATCTCTAACTCGAAGCAAAATATTGAAGATTCACCCTGTTTGTGCATTAACAGTAGGCCGTGTTTAAAAATTAAATTTCAGTTGATTATCTTAAAAAATGTGAATTGACAACCTGTATGACTGTGCAAAATTTCAAATTGGTATTTATTCTAATAGCCGAAATATAGGGGTATCTTCATCTTAAATGCGACACACTGTATAGAGTCAGAACAAAAAAAAACAAAAAACAAAAAAAAATATAAAAACAAAAAAAAAAAAAATAATAAAAACAAAATGAAAAAAAAACTAACTTTATATTCTTACTAACATACCTAACCCTTTCCTTTCCTGGCAAGGAAGGCTCATACCTCCTCGTGGTCCTTGCTGGACAGACAATATTTTGAGATTTTCTGTCCTTGCTGGATAGACAATCTTTTAAAATTTTCTGACAGAATGAACCATTATTTACAGATAATTGTAAAAAAATATTATGGTTTATGTAAAAACTAAATAATAAGTCCAATATTCTTATAAATCACTAAAATTAACAAGCTTTAATTTGAAAGAATTAATTTGTTATTTATTAGATGTTGTGAGCCCGCTCACATTTGAAAAAAAAAACTGATTCTGTCCTTTGAAGATTCCTATTCAAAAATACCGCGTTTAAACAAATCGAAGGTTGAAGGGTGCCGGACATTTTTGCCGGAAACAATTCAAATTCAAAAGATCTCCTTTTTCTGCTACGGAAAATATTACCCCAATTTCTCACCAAAATCAATGTCGAGACTTTAGTTTAAATACTCTTGAATCTCAAAAATACTCATTTACATATTTTTCAAGCCTCGAAAATGCATATTAGGTATCGCATTTTTCGGATTTTAAATCGCCTATATCTCCAAAACTATTAACTTTTGAGAAAAATGACATAGATCTTATTTAGAGTCACCCAAAAACCTAAAAAATATTTTTTGGAGCACAAAAGGTGATATTTTGAATTTGTTTAAAAAATTGTTCTGTAAAAAAAATTTTCCTGAATATAATTATGTAAAAATTAATAAAAATTATGATTTTTCTTGAAATATGCGTTTGATGAACTGATCCCTTTTCTTAATTTCCACGCCAATGGTCGGCATTTGCATCAAAGAAGCTCAAAAGCCGCCACTTGGAAAATTGACTTTGGAAAAAGTATACGTCAACGAAGCAATGGATCAGATGTGTGATTCTAAATCTTACGTAGGAAAGCCGATTATACAAAAATAAAATACAAGTGGAAAATACTTTGAGAGAATGCTTCTCATCATTCTCTCTCCGGTTGCTGACAAGAATGTAGAGCGATAGAATAATTTTTAATAATTTTAAACTGTTTGTCTTTGTGTTAATGTAGTGTTATGTACAATTTATGTCCAATCTCATGTTTATTACATTCTGCGCTTACTGGATAGCCCACATTTGACGAAATGCCCCTGATGATGCGGTAGAAAGCGAAAGTACTTGGGCAAGATTTGATTATTAAATTTGTGCTCGATATTTGCCTTAATTTTCAAAGTTCATTTATCCGAGCATTCAACCTCATCTCAATTAAAGTCAGAATAGCCATGTTAGTGTCCAACATCCGTAACAGATAGGCACCACAAGAAGAAGAAGAGGTCTATTCTACTATCAACCAATGTAAATTTGTCTTTAACATCGTCCAAAATATTCAACAGATTCCGGGTATTTCTTTATCACTAAGTCAATTGTCAGTTGTTTAATAAATGACTCTTAAATGAGAATGTAAAGCTACAATATCAAACAAATTTCCATAATTTAATCGTAATGAATTAAATGCCTCTGTGGGAAAAGGAAGAAGGTGAATTGGCAGAAAGAAATACTCATGGCTCCGAAACCTTCGTCAATGGACTGGCTTATCAGCAGATGAATTATTACATGCCGCGCAAGATCGAAAACGATATCGGCAAATCGTGAAGGAAGCTACCGACGTTAAAATTTACTCAAAAAGAAGAAGTAGGAAATTTTGGTGAATTGTAATTCTTCTTCTTTATGTGCCGTCTTCTACCGAAGGTTGGCGACCATCATACGAT